ATTTCCCTTATTGCTAGGGAGCTAGAACATTTTTTCATATGTTTGTTTGCCATTTGGACTTGTTCCTTTGTGAAATGTTTGCCCATTTCCCGTGCCCATTTCTTGAGTTTGCCTGCTACTTTTTATCTCCCACATTTAAAACTTCCCATGGGGGCCTGGCACAATAACCTAGCAGCTCAAGTCCTTGCCTTGTAGTGCTGGGATTCCATGTGGGCTCTGGTTCATATCCTAGCTGTTCCACTTCCCATCCAGCTCCCTGCTTGTGGTGTGGGAAGGCAGTTGAGGATGGTCCCTAAGCTTTGGGACCCTGCACACCCACTTGGGATATCCGGAAGAGGTTCCTGGCTCCTGGCTTGCTTTGGGTTCAGCTCCAGCCATTGTGGCCACTTGGGGAATGAGTCAGTGGATCAAAGATCTTCCTCTCTGTGTCTCCCCCTCTCTGTATATCTGACTTTCCAATAAAAATAAAATCAATCTTTAAAAGAAAAAAAACCTACCCATTGGATTTGTATAACCATTTTTTTTTTTTTGGCTCTGTCCAGGTCTTAGGTTGAATTCTTAATGGCTTTCTATAAATCTCTCTTCGTGCTGTTATGAAAACCTCCGTTTTAAAATCACAAACGTCTGGTCGAGGAGTTCACAGAAAGTCCATGATGCACAGAAGCGCTTACCTGCCAGGTTTCCAGACAGAGCTGTCTTCAGTGAATCCAGTGTTCGCCCCGTTGGGTGCGAACGTGACATAGGGAGGGCCTGAAGACAGAGTGGGGATGGGCCAGTGAGAATTTTTAGTGAGAATATAGTTGCTTGTGTAGAACACAGATCCTCTAACTGACAAATTTATGAGATGGTATTCTTTATTATAGCTAAGTAATTCTCAATATCCTGGAATCATTTTTATATATCTGTTAGAAATTAATCATTAACTATTCTTGTGTCGGGTGTTATTTTTTCCCCTCTGTCCCAATCTCTTCAAAAAAGAGAAGTGAATCTCTGTTAAAAACCTGGGAAGACATCCAAAATTTAAATGCCTGTTCAGCTGCACAGCCTACTGTTTGTGTACATCATCATTTGTTTTATTATGTAGCTGATGAAAAGGAGGCGTGTTTTGTCAGTTACACCATATATTTATACTATCTGCAAAGCATGGATAACATTTTTCTTGGGGGAATAATTGACCAGTGTGAACTAACATGTTAAGTTGTGTCAGCTTAAACATCTAAATACTGTAAGTAATAAAATGAACAATTCAAAGAGGTAAAGATAATCACTAGGTACGTAAAAGTAGAATCATAAGTTGTTTTTTTTTTTTTAAGGATTGATTTACTTTAAAGAGTTAGGGAAGACAGAACAATCTTCCATCCTGTAGTTCATGCCCCAGAGGGCTACGATGGCCAACACTGGGCCAGGCTGAAGTTAGAAGCCAGGAGTTTCATCTGGGTCTCCCACGTGGGGGTGGCAGATCCCTAACACTTGGAGCATCCTCCACTGCTTTTCCAGGCCATGGACAGGAAGCTAAAGTGGAAGTAGGGCTGCCAGGACATGAACTAGTGCGGGTATGGGACACCAGCATCGGAGATGGCAATGTTAGGTCCATGCCAGAGTGCCAGTCTCTGAATGCTTATCTCCTACAACAGAATGTGAGAGATGCTGAATTTTAAAGCTCAATTCGAAATAAGACGGGCAGAGAGAAAAATGAGAGGAACAACAGAGTGCAAAATTAAACCAGCTCATCAATAGTCACACAATGGAAACATAATCAACTTTCTTATTTTGAAGACAGAAATTATTTGATTAATCAAATAATTAAGCCCAGCAATATAATATTTATGAAAAACTACCTTAAATTATGGATATTAAACACTAAAAGTAAACAGGTAACAAAATATGCAGACAGATACTAAACAAAAAAATGGAATTTCTTAATGTGAGAAAGAAATGAACTTCAACTTGGGAGGTTCTTTTAATGATAGAGGATCACTATGTAAGGATTGAAGATTTAAATACAGCAGTGCTAAATAGTTAAACATTTATCTGTTCTTACAGTACAAAAATTTTTAAAAAAATGTTTTTTAATGAATTTACAAGAGAAGCCTGAAAAAACTCTGCTGTTAAATGGGAGATTGAGAAGAGCGCAGTCTAACCATCTGATAAGGGATACCTCTGGCTTCAGGTGAAACTGACACTTAAGGTATCTGACATCCATGGATTCCTCAAAGTGTCAAATCTGATACAAACTCCAAGATGCACTCAGTACAGTGGGTTTAGGAAGTAGGCTTTGTGGTACAGTGAGGTATGACTCCACTCCCCATTTCAGAGTGCCTGGGATGAGGTCACGCCTCAGCTGGGGATCCAGCCTCCTGCCCGTACCGTGGGAGGCAGCAGATGATGGTGGCTCGAGGAGCTGGGTCATCACCATCCACGTGGGAGTCCCACAATGAGGTCTGGGCTTCTGGCTTCAGTCTGGCTCATCCCAGGCCATCATGGAAAGTGACCAGTAGGCACAAGATGGCAGTGTGTGTGTGTGTGTGTGTGTGTGTGTGTGTGTGTGTGTGTGTCTGTCTGTCTGTCTTTGTCATAATGCAAGTGGTCTGGCAGTGGCTAACACTCATGGAACACACATGCAGAGAGTTGAATAAAATTGATACTAGAAACACAAATGAGGAAGTAGAAGTGAGTTAAACTAAAATTTCATGCTTTAAAATGAAATATAAAATTTATAATTTCATTGGCATTATTAACGGATAGTCGGGAAAGAATATGAGTGTCTTGTATTGATTAATTCTTTATTTTAGATGTATAGAGTATATTTAAATATAAGCAAGAAAAATGTAAAGGACCAAAAAGGACTTGATTGTTTTCAGCCCGTATTTATACTCCTGTGAAACTGTGGTCTTTCTACTTTCAGCTTGTTGAATATTATGGTTACTGCTGCATTGAGCCTGGGGTTTCAGAGTGGGCTAAAATTAGGCTTTTGCAAAAATTAAAGAAATAAGAAGGAAGGAGGGGTTGATAGAAGGAAAGAGGGAGAAAGGAAAATATAGTTATGGTTATCTTCTTAGGATTGGACTATGAAAACATGAAATCTGTTCTCTATTAATAAAAATTTTTGGAAAATAACATAAAACCAAGATATAATTATACTTAAGTACTACTCATAGTAGTAAAACCTGCCTCTTTCCCATTTCCCTTCCCCATGTCCCCCTCTCCTCTGAATCGGCCTTTCAAATAGTTTTTTAAAAGCTGTCTTGCTTTCTGTTTCCCATGTTTTATACTTTGCAGTTAGGTAGATTGAAGTACTCAAGTTAAGATCACCTTTGTCTTGTTGAACGTGTAACATTCACACCATGTGCCGGAGTGCCTGGTTCCAGTCCCTGCTGGGTTCCAGTTTCAGCTCCCTGCTAGAGAGGCAGCAGGTGATGGCAACGCAAGGAAAGGGGTCGGGTCCCTGCTACCCACGTGGGAGACCCATGGTGAGACCTGGGCTCCTCCCAACCTGGCCCAGCCTCGGCTGCTGAAGGCATTTGGAGAGTGACCCAGCAGATGGAAGTTGTCACTCCCTTACAAATCAAATAATTTCTGTTTTAAGTAGAACCTTTTTGATGATCCTGTACATTCTGATAGGGGCCAGGCCTGTTGGGAAAAAGACTAGAGAATTTTTGAGAACGCCTCTTTTTCATGTGGACAGATTTCTGTTTGTCAAGCAGAGTTGTTTAAGCCTGATGTGTTAAGAAACAATCTGAACCCATTTGAGTGAACTTTCCTATGAAGATCTGCAGAGAAGAGCTCTTCGGTTGGATTTTTGGAGTAGGGTTTTTCTTTGTATTCATCCCTTTCTCTGTCCAAATTCATCATTCTTTCTTTGCATCTGATCTTTCCTCTCCAGAATGACAGTTGCCAAGTCAATACAAAGAATTCCACTGGGTCATTGTGGGAAAGATGGCTTTCAGCTGCTTGTATAGTGCTTCAAGGCATTTTCAGAAAGCACACCCAAGGGCCGATGAGGCTTCCCTCTTCCTAGAGTCGCTGCACATGTTGCATTGTGTCACAGCAATTCAGGAATCTAAACCATGTAGAGTACACCGCCCCTCAGAGAGCGCTCCAAGCCCACCCCGTCCCGCCCTGGCTTGGATTCCTCCTCTGTTGCATGGGCGGAGTTCACAAACCTTGTCAGAGGAATACCAGCGAGGGTGTGAACTGGAAAGGTGGCTGAGAAAAACCCACCGCAATCCATAAATGGTAGCTGTTAATGGGAATATCTTTGTGATTAGCATTCATGTTAATGATCCACGTGGAGTGCTGTGAGCAGAGAGAAGTTCTGTGAGAAGCAAGGCTGGACTGCCCTGAGTGAAGCTGCTCCCATTTCAATGTCTTTACGACCAGAAAGGCTACTTCTGTGCTTATCTTGAGCTGCCCACTTTCCACCTGCTGCTGTGTTAAAGGTCATCTTGAATTGATTCAGCTCCACATCTTTTTAGCATAGCGTGTGTGTTAACCTGTGCACGCATGGAACAGTTAATATTTGACAGTGCATTTGTTTCCATAATTTTATCTTTAGTGCCAGAAAATATAAATCCTAAGAGGAAAAATAATGTTGGTAACTGAAGAATTTAATTGGAGTTTCATTTTAACTCCTAGTTATTTGGTATTGCTTTCCTATAAATGTGTCCAGATGTGTATGCAGCACATAGATTCTGTGAACAATTATGGTGGCTGTTCAGTAAGCCATCTTGTGAAATTTTCCAGTGCTGAGCCAACTTTTTTTCATTCTGAATGTATCAGTCCTTTGCTTATGACAGATTTTTTTTTTTAAATCAATGATACTGTGATATCTGCAGTAATGGTCTGTTTGGATAACAGGTACTCTAAGAACTTTGTTTTCAGCAGGTTATTTGTTTTCTGGTCAGGAACAGTGAACTGAAACACGAGGTGAGCTATGTGTCTTTTTTGGTTGGTGTTCTTGCTTGTTCTGATCTCTCTCTCTCTTCTGCATCTGTCTTTAGGCTCAGCTACGTGAATCATGCGGAAGATCTGGCCTCCAAACTCCTCCAGTGTTCCCCAAAGAACAGGCTATCTGCACAAGCCGCCTTGAGCCACGAGTATTTCAGTGACCTGCCCCCGCGGCTATGGGAACTGACCGACAGTGAGTATGACAAATCTGCAATGTCCAATCAAAGCACTTTAGCATCTGTGTGTGGCGTACGTGTGGAGAGATTGACATGTTTATTTATGCACAGGCATAAGGATGCGTGTGCAAAGGTGGTAGAGCAGGGAGAAGCAGAGAGAAAGAGTGAGAGAGGGAGGCAATGGGGGAGGGCTGTTCTGTGTCTATATATTTTGTGGAATCCTGCCATTCAATTGCTAGCTTACCAGACGCAAGAAGAAAATGGATTCCTTTTTCGCTATCTCTGCTCTGCAGTCTGCAGCTGTGCGTCTTTGTATTTGATTATATGCGCGTCCGTAAAAATGATCTGAGCAGTCATAAAGGAAAAGGGAAATATGATTTACATATTTAGTGCTTTCTGCGTACAGTACCTTTAAACTGGCTGCAGTACACAGAGAAGGAATGATTCATTTCTGTTTGATACTCCGAGACCATCTCGGTTGTAACAATAACCTAGGAAGGGCTGCTGGGCGGTGAGGCGCAGAGCGGGCAGCGGGCTGGCGCGCTGAATTGACATGTAAGGACTGAAGACATGTAATTCATTTTAACTACAAATGTTCTTGGTATTCGTACAGACGGTTCTTCTCTAGATCTTTTAAAACAAAACACATTCCTGGGTGGGTTTTTGTTTTGTTTTTACAGAACTGTTCATATTTACACAGCCTTTTTCAATTATATTTTAAATATTTGGGGAACGATTTATGACTGAGAGGATCTCAGCTTTCTTCCAAAGTGTGAAACAGAATTCTTGTGAGATTTTGCAAAACACTGTTGCAGCAGGGGTATTTTTGTTCAGTGGTGGTACATTTTTTTCTGAAGTGCCAATTGCAGATATTCTCATTCTGTTTTCTAACTGCTTCAAAAATGTAGATAGTGTATATATACCTGAATATTTGCCTTTTAATCCTTGGGTACACATCATTTAATAGTAAGCATGAAGTTATTTAGTTAGTCTCTCAGATTTTAGATTTGACTACCCATAGATGTGACACCCGTATTAAATTTTCCTTAAGAACAGTAGTTCTTTATTTTGGAACTAAGTAATGATTTCTGTTGAATATTCCTCATTTTTTTGGACGTGCCGTTGGCTTCCAGTTTTCTTTACCTCTAAATGACCGTGGAGCTGTGGATGTAGGATTCTCCTCACATGCCGTCCCCTCCCACTTTTACGCCCTGCTCCTTCCGCCTTTCTAAAAGTCTGTCGTTATAATGGTGACCGTCGTAACTGCCATCTGCAGTTTTCAAAAATTTGAGGATGAGATTCCCTTGGAAAAGTAAGGAATTGATGACACATTTTCCTATCCCGGAAGAAGACGGCTTAATGCAAATAGGCTTGCTCGCTTTCCTGCCTCTCACAGCCACACGCGAGGTTGGTTTGTCTCCTGGTGCAGCGGATCTTGCTATCATTTCTCCGTGCTGACATCTCAATCCCATCTGACTCCGTGATTGAGTCTAAGCCAGAACGGTGATGGTCTGCGAATTCTGAATTCTGTCATGGCACTTCTCTGTTAATATGGACTTATTACCCACTCGCCACTTAGTTTATCAGCCAGTGGTTAAATACAGTTTCTATCAGTGAGTAAATGCCTCCGCATTATCACTGGGGAGCAGGCTGCCAGGGGAGACAGCCTTGTCCCCGTCATTAACAAGCACAATGTATGCAGAACACCAGAGGGGAATTAAAACCACAAAAAATACCTCAGGGTGGTATTTTTAATATGAGAATTTAATTTGTAATTTCACAGATTAAGAATTTTGGCTGCATTAATCCCTTTATCAGCTCACAGCAGGCTATTTGCAGAAGCATAACCATAAGGCGATATTCATTGGCAGAAACACGTCTTTGCATAACGTTAAACATCAGGAGCAGTGAAACCTTTTGAAGGGGGGAGAATAAAGATGAAAAATCATTATATTTTTAAAGCAAGACTCTACTAAATGCCTCCGGTAACAATTTTGAGTTACAGAAATGCTATTTCTGTGTCTAGGAGATAATCATTGTAAAGCGCAAATCCAGTCGCAAGAAAGGACAACCCCAGTGTTAGATACTCCAGTCACTTCCATTTAGAACAAGGTGGCAGCTGCACTTGTAAACATGTTTACAAAACAAAGAATTCCCAGACTCTGGAGACTTTGGGAATTAGTTCCTTTAAGTGAAATGACTGGCTTTGTTGATTCTCTTGTCTAGGCCGACTATATTTAGAAATGACTAAAATTCTTCAAATTAGATTTCCTGGAGTGCAGAGTCCTGTCAGCGGCACCCTCACGTGCTTCCCTCCCAAGGAGGTTTGGGGGAGGAAGTACTGTGGAACTAATGGATGCATTGTCCTGCCCGCCAGGGCGTGGTCTCCACTCATTTCTGGAACCTCACTGCATCCATCTGCTCGGACTACTACAGCGAAATCACCATAGCCCAAGTGGCACAAACAGTGCGCATCTGTTGTTCAGTTCTAGGAAGGAAATCCAAGATGTTGGCAAATTCAGTGTCCATAAGGTTGGGCTACTCGGTCTGCATATGGCCCCCTTGTTGTGTCCTCACAGGGTGGAGAGCCCCATGTCTGTCTCCTTCTGCCTACACAGCTCCTAATCCCATCGTGGGGACCTTGCCCTCACGACCTCATGGTACCTAGCTACTCCCTGAAGGCCCCATCCCAGAAATACCAACACACAGAAGTTAAGGCTTCAGTTTTGTCCACAGCACTGTCATCCACCAAGATGACTCTTGGCTCTCATTCCAAACTTAGTTTTTAATTGGCACATAAAAGTTGTATATGTCTTTGAGGTATCATAAATATTTCCGATACATGTATGCATTGTGTTGTGTTCAAAACAGGGGAAACACATGTACCTCCTCACTTTCTAAAGAAGGAAGTGAAAGCAGATTAAAGGAAAAAGCGGACTCAAGCCTTCTGGCCTTGGGCATCACAGGTCCAGGGAGAAACCCAGCAGTGTCCTTGGTAGCTGTGTGACACTGGGCACCGTGTTCATTCCATGGATTAATATTCGAAAGAGAGTGTACTCTCCTGCCAGACTCGCTTGTTTGGAAGTCTGCCTAATGATGTCACCTCTTCATTGTGTAGTTCCTTTATCATTCTGCTACATCAGGCTGATCTGAATGAAACTCTTCACTTTTTTTCCATCAAGTTCATTGTTGTCCCCAGAAGCCCCAGACACTGCTGCAGAAGAGGACAACAGGGGAGCCATCTGCAGGAGTCCCTTCTGAGCCCTTGGTCCCCATGGACCATGATGGGCATACAGCACTGCAGGGGTCCAGACACGGACTTGTGCGTGCGTACACACACACACACACACACACACACACACACACACACACACACACACACACACACACGTCAAGGATCACAAGCATGGAGAGAGAGAAGAGAGGCACCACTCTGGGTCAACACCTGTATGAGACCCGGGGCATTAGTTAAGCACACTTCACAGGGGTGACTTTTTACTTACGGCTTCAGAGCAAACAAGTTCAAGTTTCTGTTGCACAGTGACTGTGATCCATGTGGAGGGGGAAGGTTAAGAGCAGGGTCCATGAAGCAGGCTGCATTCATCTGTCCCACAGGAGATGGATTACCAGGGACGGGAGACTATGGATGGACCACACTGAGTAACTGGCAGGTGGTTGCAGTGTAGAACTAGCACCTGTCAAGGGTGAGGTTAAGTCCTGTTTCTAATATGAGAAAGTCCAACTTACATTCAAAATGGATGCCCAGGCAACATAAAATTTCAAGCCTTCTATACAGTTATGTAATGTCAAAACTTAGAAGTAACATGTGAGTTTAGAGTGCCATGGAAGCAGGAATTATAAATGTTATCTAGAGGAATAATGGCGTAATTATCTGGGGATCCTTTGATTAAAGCTGGTGATCTAGTGGCGCCCCATCATTGGCCCTATGAACCGAAACCCCAACAGCCTTGCCCCACTTCTTCACAAAGATTTAATTGCAGAGAAGTAAACAGAGGGCTGATTTAGAAGAAATTCATTACTTTTTCCCAGATACACTACAGGGTGTTCTCCTGTGTATATGATCAAGTTGCATAAATAATTGAAGCTGAGCTACCCTTGTCAAAGTAAATGAACAAAATACGCTTCATAGCAGAGTCCTTGGGTTTATTGCATTCATTTGCTAGTTCCTAATACTCCAGCAAAAGAAGGCCCACAAATCGGTGCCATGTGCAGAGCCCTGAGGTGGGAATTCGGCCACTGGGACACCAGCCTCCAGTTCACCATTCCTGGCTAGGTACTCTGGAAAAGTACCTCGGTGTCTTTGTGTTTCCAGTTGCCCGGTTAAGAACAAGTGAGAGGGACAGCTCCCATACACATTCCTGTGCGCGGGTCTGCACGGGTCAGCACAGTGGAACATATGGACCATCATCTGCTCGGAGGAGCTTTCCTTTGCTGAGTTTCCAGCACAGGATTCTCTTGTGGTTTTCCCTTTCCTTCCTGTACCACTCCTTTTCAGGCTGTTGACGGCTACCCCTTGTGTGCCAGACCTGCCAGATCTCTCATGGCTGGAATATCTGACCAGCTAAAGCCCAGAGCTTTTTGTCAATACTTTCTGGAGCATTGTTGAGCTCATGAGTTTCATGATTTAGATATCATCTGACTACCAGCAGCTCCTAGGTTCCACTCTGCAATACTGTCTTTCCTGATTCCAGACTGAGATGTATAGTAGGCTACTTAGCATCTCATTGAGCTATTCAGGAGACATCTCCAACTTAACCTTAATAAAGTGAGTTCTTGATCTTTTTCCCCAAAATGTTTGTCTTTGTAGTCTTAGCCTTCATAAAAAAAATGGCAAGGTCATTCTTTTAGTTGACGGAAGTTCTCCCTAGCAAGTTCTCCCACAGATCTTGCTGCTTCAGAATATATCTGAGGGCAGCAGGTGTATAGCCTAAAGGTTAAGACACCAGTGTCCCACTTTAAAGTGCCTGGACTCGTTACCCAGCTTTGGCGCCTGACTCCAGCTTCCTGCTGCTGCACACCCTGGGAGGCAGTGCTGATAGCTCCAGTGCTTATGTCCATGACCCCCCAGTGAGACACTTGGATTGGGTTGCTGGCTCCCATATGGCCCAACCCCATATGGTGCAGACATTTGAAGAGAGAACTGGCATGTGATACCTCTCTCATATATATATATAAGATATATAAGGCTATGTATATATCTCTCCTTATGTGTGTTCAGGATTACGCTCCAGCCCACTTCACTGCTGTCATTCTGACCCAGTTATCCTGTGGTCTTCACCTGCCTCATTGTAGTAGCGTCCTACCTGCTTTACTTGCTTCTCTTCTCACTTCCTTGGAATTGGCTGTCACTCTTCCTCCTCCTACAGGTTCTGCCTACTCTCCCCTTAGACGTATGCATGGCTGCTGTCTCGCGTCCCTTGGTTCTCAGCCTAGAAGTCCCTACCAGGGAGGCCTTTGCTGACCTTTCACTCCCAAATTTTGTTTTTTTTTTTCCTTCCATTTCATGTATCTGGAGGCCTATGATCTGTCTCTCCAAACTGTAATTTAAGAGAACGGGGATTTTCCTTTGTTCTGATTTCTTCACTGCAAGATTCTGCCTCTAAGTAGGGTAAAATGTGTTGTCTGCGAATTCCAGTTGATCATTGTGGATTAGAGAAATGTAAGGAGCCCCGGCTGTGGTTTGAGGGGAGGCAGGCTGCTGCACTGCATGTGTGTATGTGTGTGGGGGCCAAGAGGCTGCTGACATGTCAGAAATCAGCAGATCTCATCATGTTCAGTGTACCAAACATACAGAATTGCATCTTCATATGCAATTGCTTTTTTTTTTTAAAGAAAGGATGATCATATATATATATATAAGTACATAACGAAAACTTTGATTCCATCCACAGTGTCTTCTGTTTTTACCGTCCCAAATGTGAGATTGCAACCAGAGTCTGGAGAGAGCATGCGGGCCTTTGGGAAAAACAATAGTTTTGGGAAAAGTCTATCCAACAGCAAACACTGAGCAACATGGCAGCCCCAAGAGAGTGCAGGTAAGACAATGACATGCTTTCCCGGGAAAGTGATGCTCCATGGATGTTGAATAGGTGTTTCACATGAACAGTTTCTCACTCCTTTGCGCCTGCCAGTGCTCACATATGTCTCCTGGGTTAATCGGTGTTCATCAGCCTTCCCACCGAGTCACAGTGCGGCCGCTTAGTTCCATCCATCCAGGCACCTACTAGCTTCAAACCAAAATTATACTTCATCGTGCGCTTCTACTTGTGAAATCATGATCACTCCGTTTCAGTCATAAGCAAATCATTTTCGCTTCTGACCCGTTCTTCATTGAGGTTAGGCAAGGGTTCACTTTGGTCTGTGTCTAAGCCACAAACCTGCCTTGGTCGGCTCTCCCACCTTTTAAGTTTGTTGCTCTTGTTTAGAATGTGGAGATGTTACACTAACATGTAGATTCCTGACGTTTCTTGAGAAATCAGCATTGGCAACACCGCTCCTACCGGAAGTTGGTGTGTCTCCTTGTGCTTGCCTCCCTTGGAGAGAGCCGCCTCGGCCCCGGTTCAGCTGAGCTGCTATCCAAGACAGACCTCGTGGTCTTTTCCATTTTGTAGTCTGATCCTCGGAGCTCGCCTGTTCCACAGTAAAAACGTAGACACAGAGCTCTCCAGGTGTGTCAGGCTACCCCAGTCATCACAAATGCCACACAGTGACAAGTGCGAGATGGCAGCTTCCAGAAAGCCTATGCCTTTTGATTGCCAGATGAGAATGGTGGTGTTTGGGAATTTCACACAGTGTGTATCCAAATGCTTTCCTTCAGTGTAATATAACTCTCTGAAGCAAAGAAGTAGAAACATGTTTTATGGGAAAAGCTGGTTTGTTTAGTGTGCATTCTTGTACCCTATTCCTGTGGAATTTCAGTAATTTAGGATTCTAGGGACTCAGAAACTCCTGGGTTAATCAAACGTTTTAATGGGTTTATCACACAGCATGGCCAAGAGCAAGTTCAACTGTCCCCAGTGATCTGCCAGTGTCTTTAGCTATTTCTGTTCTCTGAATATGGCCAGTTCGGTGCTTTTCGGCGAAATGGCAGTGATGGGTGGGTGACTTGATGACGCGTGGCATCAACACTGGTCAGGTGTTACGGCTGCACATATCTTCTCATCAGTAAGAGTCTTCAGGGTTTTTTCTCTCTACTGGATAAAAAGCGACCTCGTAGCACAAGTTGGCTCACGTGGCAGCATCTCTACTCCCACCTGAAATTTGCACTGGTCAGAGCGGAAGTAGGGCTGAGCAGGTCACCAGTTCTGAGTATGACTTGGAAATCAGGAGAGTTGCAGTATAAACCTGCACTCTCCCAACGAGGAAGGCTCCTGGCTTCGTAAATCCATGAGCCATTTCAGTCGAGCAAAACTATGAGTGGACTTGACTTGTCCTGCTGTCTCCTGCCCACAGGCGTGGGGACAAGGCTGACTTTGAACCTCAGGGCTGTGTTCTTTGTTAGCTCTCTTGGGATCTCCTGACCCTAGCCCAGCCAGTCAGTGCTGCCATGAAGTGTCTTAGGTCAGTTCCTCCTTCAAGTTCACTGGGCAGGAGCATTGCCCACACTGAACTGCTGATTGAAAACAAATTCTGTGTAAAGGTGCACAGAAGTATAATTGTCAATACGTGGAGCCTGCACAGAAAGGAATTCCCCTTGTAATGTATTTTTAAGCCCAGGTTGCATATCTGTGCAGTGGAAGCTGTTCCTCTAGAATTGTGTCAGTGCAATGTGAGTTTTCTTTTTCACATCAACTCTCGAAGCTTTAATATTGTTACTGTGGCTTTCTTCCCAAGTCCATTGCCTCAGCCTGATTCAGTGTGATGCTGAGGAAACTGCTCATTTTCTTCTTTTCGGGGGAAAGCTAAAGGGAAGCTGGATCCTAAGAAGAGTCGACAGGGAATGCAACAATTTGATTCCTCACCTTTCTATTTTAATCAAACAGGGCTATCCTAGAAACCAGGACCAACAAGCTAATTTATCATATGGAAGGGCCATACTCCAATCCATAGCTGAATATCAAATTATAGACATTACATAGCAAGGAGTCTATGTAAATAAGAGCTCCATTAGAGAAGACTGTATAATTGCCCAGGCTTTGGTTTGGTTGGTGGTGCTGAATTCATTAACTGCTTAGAATAGGCCCTGGGATCTTTAATTTCCTGCAAATGTCCCAGTTCTTTGTAATGCGTGGAGCTTGGGAGGAAAGGCAGGTGGAAGGAGCCGGGTCTCAAAGAGGCGGCGCAGTGGCGGCTTAGGCAGCTGTCTCCTGGGAAGCATGCGAGAGCCGGGTCAAGGAGCAGAATGGATGCTATCACTTCTGTCTGTGAGGTGCCAGAGGACTGAGCAGACAGGAGCATTTCAAGTTCAAATTTTTCTCCCATAGCCTCAGTGCCAAATTATTTCTCTCCTTGCATACTAAGGTCACTGCAATTATTTAGTTGATAATACCGGATTTGCATAAATTGGCCTTAGTGGAAAAGCTAATGAGATGCATTTGTGTTTTGCGGCAGAAGGCAATTTCATTTTCAGAGTTTTCTAACCAAATTGAATGAAAAGAAAACCGCACGCACCTGAAGTCACAGTGGGTCGGTGCCGTTGGAGACCCAACTGTTGTGCTGCCACGTCCTCCAAAGACACTTGTCCACTGAGGGTTTCCTGGACTGTCCCCACTCACCTTACCAACCAAAAGTGTGATCTTTCAGAAGTCTGACAGAGCAGAGCCTTCAGTGTCAACAGAGATCTGCCAGGAAAAGAACAGAAGCTGTGTTGAATATCATACCCGTTAGTATCAGTGGTCCCAACCCCTTCCCCACGTTGAGTTGGTTTTGGCAGTTACTGTAAGGAGGGAACAAAGGGCGTGGCTTACGTTGTCTACTCCTCCTCTTACTGAACACAGCTGCACGCGGACTCTGCCCATTTAGGCACCTGGGTTGTTGTTGTTGTTTCTGAAATAGTGTGTCCTCACTGTGCAACATCTCTCAGTGGACCCACCGGTCTTCAGACCCCATGACATCCTTATTAAACGTACAAATACCCATGTAGTGCATAACATTTTTTTACTTGGTTCCAGCATAAGAGGCTAACTGCACGCATATTTTTGGTGACCCCCTTCTTACCTGTCAGCATATTACACTTGCTAATCCATGTTATTATGTAAGAATTATATGACAGTGGGAAAAATGCATTAAATTCTTTCTGCTTGACTGGTCATTAAGCAATCATTTGGTAAATATAGTCAGATTAACAGAGCAGAATATACCTATTGTTTAATACATTTTAATTAAATCAGAGATTTTTGTTTTATAGTGACTGGATTCTAGGCAGAGAGCAGTGTTCTGGTGGCATGGGTGAGGGTGAACATCCCTGGAGCAGTGGTGAGGCACCAGCAGAGTTTTCAAAACCCATGCTCCAGGGGTCCTTGAATCTACATTTCAAAGAAGCTCAGCAAATACTGATGGAAGTAGCCTTTGAGCCACAGGTGATGCATTCTGCAGTAAATTATGCAGGATTTGCGGATTTATGAAAGAAAGTAACCAACATACGTGGGCCCAGACCTGAGCAAGACAAAGCAGGAAAACAAGTTTCCATCATAGAAACAGAAGACCTCCTCTAGCCCTTTCTTTTCACTTCCTTTTTCTTCCTTCTTTTGTTCCCTCCTCCCATCCTTCCCTGCCTTCTTTCTCTTTAGAAAGGAATGGAGTTGTCCTGTCCAGCACAGTCACCTGGTGGCTGGGTGAATTACAAATTTAATTCATTTGAATGGAATTACAGTTTTGTACCCTTAAAAACACTTCCACATGCCCACTGCTCACCAGGTCCCACAGTCAGTGGCCTACGTTGGGGAGGGCAGGTGTAAACGCTTCCAGCATTACACAGTGTCCTGCTGGTTAGCGCCAAGGAAGAACTTTGCTGCTAATTGGCTTTTCAAAGAGGAATCAGGAAACCGAAATTTCATTTGATAAGTAATTTTTTAAAATGAGTTTTTGTTTTAAATTACAGTTGCTTAAACTCCCAAAGTATGTAGAGAAGAGGTGGGTGCAAAGAGGAGGGCTTGAGACCACTGCCTCGAAGTGACACCAAGAGCTGCGGGGGCACCATGTCTGTGCCCACAGGAACAGGGAAGACCACGAGAAAGTAGGTGTTGGCACATTTCAGAAAGTAGTGTGGCCAGGTCTCCTTCAACAGAACTGTGCAGGAAAAACGGCTTCGCAGGCTACGTAACTATACTTACGAGTCTCCAGCCCATAGGCCAGTATGGTAGGCAGAGCTCCATAGTAGGGGCCAGCATCGTGGCACACTGGGTTAAGCTGCTACCTGCAATGCCAGCATTCCCTATGAACACTGGTTTTAATACCGGCTGCTCCGTTTCCATTCCAGTTCCCTACTAAAAGCATCTGAGCAAACAATGGATGGCTGGGGTCTTAGATCCCTGAACCCACGTGGAACACCCAGAAGGAATTCCAGAGTCCAGCTTTGGCCTGCCCAGCCCTGGCTGTTGTAATCATTGGGAGAGTGAGTGTCAGTGACCCATTTCTGCTAATCCTGCTGCTTCAGTGCTTGCTTCGGCAGCACAAATACTAAAAAAATGATCCTGCTGCTTCTTGTTTCTTGTCTTTGTCTGTCTCTCCCGAGGCGGTCTGCCCTCGCGTTCCTCTGGTCTCAGAATTAGCCCTTCCCTAGAGCGCAGCTCTGCATGCTGTAGCCTTCGCCATGACATGGAGAGCAACGCTGTTGTGTCAGCCACCCTCATATAAGTTGTGGGCAGCTTCTGGAGGGGCACGGGGACCTGAGCTGGACACTGCCTGGTCAGCCTGTTGTTACAGAACCCCTCAAAGAGGGCTTTAGGCTTAGTCATTCCAGAACCCTCTGTGAAGTGAACAAGTAGTCTGGCTCCCATGCTGTGGAGGAGAAACACACAAGTCATCAGAGGAGAGCTCCACTTGTTACGGAGTAAGCATCTTGGCTCTATGGTGACTTGGTTCTATGGTGACTTGG